GCCACGCCAGCGTCGGCGCGGTCCTCGAGCGGCGGCGGTGGAGGGGGGGGCGCGGCGGGCGACCTTCCTGACCAGCGAGCTCGCCCATTTCGCCGTCCTGCAGAAGAAAACCTTCGACGCCCCCTACGCGCTGTGGAATCTGCAGCCGGTGAGTTTTGATCGCGTCGTGCTCACCCTGCAGGGGCGCTACCGCGGCGAGGCCAGCGATCGCGAGTTCGTCATCCTCGTCGAGGACGCCGCCTGCCGGCTGCTCACGCCGGACGACGTCGAGTTCGAGTGGCTCCGCGCGACCTGGATGGAGCCCGTGACGCTCTTCCGCGAGCTCGCGCAGGCGGGGTTCAACTTCATGCTCGACGACAGCGACGCCGCCTTTATCGAGGATCTGAGGCCGAAAAGCACCGCCCTCGAGGCAAAGGCCTACGCCGACATCGCGCACTTCTGCCAGTACTATATCTTTTCGAACTCCCGCCATAATAAATACGGCGAGGACCCGGATATGGCACTTTTTCTGATGTCAAAGAAGAGCCGCCTGGTGGACGAGGAGCGGAAGGTCTTCCAGTCCTTGGATCCTGCCGAGGAGAGCTGGTATAGCGTGTGTTATCACTGTGATCGCTGCACGCTCTGCGCCTTCAAGGAATCCGAAGACGTCGCGAACCTTAGAACACTCGACGGCTGCGAGCCGCACTTTGATTTATACACAATGTTATTGCCTATTCAAGGCGAAGACGTCATGCGTGAACAATTCGCGACTACCAATTATCTTCTTCGACGTTGTGTTCATCAGATTCTCAAGATTATACGTCCTCTAACCTGGGGATGAGCGTCGCGGTGCAGAATCTTTTTTCTTTTTCTAGATCCCACTTCTTTGTGACTGTTGTTTGGTTCTTCGCCCTCTTTCCTTTGCTCAAGTTTTCGATATTCCGAGGTCTCGATGTAAGCTATGAATTCTTTTTTTCCTCACACTCGATCTTCCTTGAGCATCGAATTCAGGGGATTTGAAATAGACATGGGTGTATTTTGCTCTGAGTGGGGGTGTGGAATGGTAGAAGTGAGGACTTTGGTTGCATTTCACGCTTATTTACTCATAATTGCATTTTTCATTTTCCTGATGTGATATATCACCCTATTCAGTTTTTTTTTTCCACTAGTACGCCTTTCTTCTGGACACGGCCCATTGGCATGCACAAAAAAAGGCGCTCTTCCCGTGTAATGGGAGGGGATCCCCCGCGTGCTTCATTCAATTCCGATTCCTAACCCCCATCTCACCTTTCGACTTCTTTTCACACGAAAAGCTAAAGCCTAATTCGTTGATAAAAGACTATGAGACCACTTTATAGCCTCCTCACACGTCACCCATTCACGCCTATCCTTTTGTATTTTATTTTTTTAGTTCTTTTCTTTCTTTGGGACTTCCCCCGCTCCAGCCTCCCCGCACCGCCCGGCGGCCCGTCCGTGGGGATGTTCGGTCGTTCCCTGCGGCGCCTCCCCGGGGGCCCTCTGCACGCCGCCCCCCCGTCCCTCGAGGAGGCCCTCCGGCTCTTCGGCCTCCGCGCCGGGGGGGTCCACGGCGAGAAGGACAT